CAGGTAAAATATTGGGTCAAGGGAAGGGGCTTATTTGCTTTTAATGGGAGATGTTTCAGTAGTTACCACGAATGTTCAAAAAACAGACAGTCAAGGAGAGAGACTTAACTGTAAATTACCAGGTTACTACCAATTGAGCAGAAAAGAAGTCGACCTTTAGGAGAAAGACTTTGGAGATAGATGATATGCTTTTAGTTTGTTATTAGATTTGAATGCAAATGCGTTGTATTTTCTGGACTGTACTCGTGGTAACCTGAGGTGTGTGACAGTAGCAAGAACAGGATGTGTGTTGTATTTGAGAAAACGTTTCCAGAGTCAGGAGAGAGGTCTGAACTTGAGATAAAATTATGCACTTCCAAAAGTGTGCCGACTTCATCACCAAAGAAATAAATATTAAATTATTGATATCTCAGTTCTAAGATTTCTATCCCTTTAATTGACCCCCATTTATTTGGATTTCATGGTAATTCAAATTCAGATCAACTAAATTAGCCTTTGTGATGTAGGAAAAAGGAACTGAGAGAAAATTAATAAGCATATGAAACTGCAAAGGCTGTTTACCATCCTTTTATAGAACTGTTTCCAGGCTCCTACAAGCAGCCCCTTAGCAGATAGGTCTGCTAATTACAGATGTTCCTCTCTTTTCAACAAAGTCAGCAGCTCTTTTCCAGCCTTTATCAGGAAAAAATGAGACCGTCTCTAACAAGAAGTCTGCAAGGTTAATCTCTGATGCATTTTGCCAGAAGTGTGTTAGCAGTGATGTAGTTTACTGAGGGCCCAAGTGGCAGCAACAAAGTAGATCAACTAAAAATTTTAACGACAAGAGTAATTAATGTTTCCATGGTGCTTGATCATTTGCCAAGAAATACTGAACATATTCTGTGATTCCACTCACTCAGTCAATATGTTTGACAGCTTCTGTATTTCAGGTCCTAGAAACCTAACTGTGAAAAAGTTCCCTTTTGCGTGAAGCTTCGCATGAGCTGCACAACAACCTGGTGAAATAAGTAGGCCGAGTGCTATTATTAATCTTCTCTTCAGATGAGGATACGCTAATGTTTAATTAAAACTTAGATTTAACTCACTTCTGTTCTAGGAATTTGGGCCCCAGCTGAAATTTTATCACTAGTATTTTCTTTCTCAAAAGTTTTGAACACTCAGTACTTCATTACATGTTGTACTCTGAAATGTCATCTTCACAAATATAATGCAGGAGAAGAGAGGGTCAGAGGATGAGATGGCTGGATGGCATCACCAATACAATGGATATGAACTTGGGCAAACTTTGGGAGATGGTGAGGGACAGAGAGGCCTGGCATGCTGCAGTCCATGGGGTTGCAGAGTTGGACACGACTGGGCGACTGAACAAGAAATAATAATGAAATTCTGCAGGGGAAGCTCTTTTGCATTTCAAAAATTCATTCCAACACTCAGTCTGATAACCACATGTCTACAAGAAGAGCCATCGCATGTTATGAAGACACCAGTTATAGCTGGTCCATCTTAAGTTACTAGTCTAGGAGCCTGATCAGGTCTTTACTGCCATCAAAATTGGCTTCCCTGGTGGCTCAGTGGTAAAGAATCCTGCCCGTGCAGGAGACGTGGGTTTGATCCCTGAGTCGGGAAGATCCCCTGGAGAAGGAAGTGGCTACCCACTCCAGTATTCTTGCCTGGGAAACCCCATGGACAGAGGAGTCTGGCAGACTACAATCCATAGGGTTGCAAAGAGTTGGACACAACTTAGTGACTAAACAGCAACAACAATCATCAGTTAGTGTGATATCTGACAGGGATCAGCTTTTTTAAAAAATGACCTCCATAACATACTATTAGCTGCCTTTATTTTAAACGGTCTTTAAAATCTGAGTTTCTACCACTTACATTGAGGCACATAAATTATTAGAAATGAGAACATATTTACTTGAAGTTTGAACATAGGTTTTACATGAAAGACAGTTACTGTAACTTCTTTAAAAGGTATATATGCCACATGGGAACTTTCTTCAGTGTATATGACTGGAGGTGGGTTTTATTTCTTCATTGAGAAAATCTTCCACAGATTTTTTAAGAATTAAATAATTATGGCACAAGACCCTCTCCTCCCTCCTTAACTCTCTGGTAACTTCTGTGACTGTTGGGAGATATATTCATGTAACAGGATGCTAAGGGGGAGCTTTCCTGTAGGCTCTAAGTATTGCACGTTCTAAAGGGAGAGCTGCTGGCGATGGAGCCCTGCTCGGAGTTGACCGACAGGTGGTGAGTCCTGCCCTGCGCAGTCGGCTGCCTGTCCGCAGAGGTTGAAGATTGCCGCCGGGAGGGCGGGGGCGCGGGCCAGAGGAGTGTCTGAGCCACGGCGGAGGAGCTGAGGCTTTCCCTCCCTTCCCAGGGGAGGGGAGAGGGCACATGCCCGGGCAACCCAGCCTGGGGAGAAGGGCCGCAGGGGGAACGTTCCCCCAGAGTGGCGGACCTGGCGTCTCTCCCCGTCAGCGGACTTCGGGAGCAGACGCGTGTCGACCAGCCTGAACCGAGGAAGAGAGAAGTGGCGGAAGGGTCCCGGCGGAGAGCCGAGTGGTCGCGGAGCCACGGGCTCTGCGTGGCGCGGGCGCACCTGTGTGCGGTGTGGCGGGCATTGAGGAAGAGGCTGGGCGTGCGTGCGCTCCGCCGCAGGGGCGCGCGTGCGTCCTAGGAAGGCTGAGCGGGGGTCGGGGAAAGTCACCCTAGAGCCAGATTTCTCACATCAGGAACAGTGCCATCCGGACCCCACGCCCTTCCCAGCAGAGCCCTGCAGAGCCTGCGCGGATACAGTAGAATCCAGGGCAGGGCGGCTCCTGCAGGAGGGGTCAGAGCCAAGTCAGTGTTGCCCTGGGAAGCAGTGAGAGCCCGCAGAGAGAATTCGGCCACCGCCAGATGAGAGAGGGGCCCTTGACCTTCCCAGCTAAGTGCACGAAGGAGGTAGAGCCTGGGTGGGCCCTGCTGCCCCGTCTGCTGTGTGAAGAGGGAGGGCACGGTCTGAATCGTCTTCGATGTTGGAGTATGGCCCCTCTGGGGGTGACGATTGGGAAATGGAACCTGAAGGTGTCTGAGCCCCGTGTGGGGTTGAGACTGTTTCATGACCTGACTCCATTTATATGTATTTCTGTCAGGATTAGGAAACAGACCCCTATCACTGAGTAGCCCCTCCGCCTTCTGGTGAACTCATTGCCGGCCGGCACTCCTTCCTAGCCAACTGCCATGTTGTAACACTTCCCTGTGTGGCCTCAGCAAGCTACCGGACCTCTCTGGGTGTTATTGTCTTCGTCTGTCAGACGACAGGTGATCCCTGGCTTACTTCTCTCACTAAAATTCTGCGGAAGTTGCAGAAGACGTAGTGTGTGTAACAGAATTAGCTCAAAACTGTGGGTGACAGCGCTTGAAGGGTGCCCTCCAAGCATGTCTGGTGCCAGTTAAGAGGGTAATCCCGCTGAAGCGCGGAGTTAATGTATTTAAATCAATGACCGCCATTTGAGATGAGGCTGGGGGTGTAATGACCCCAATGCTTAACTTGCTGGAGATTTAATTTTTGAAAAGTAGGAAGGGGCAGATGCCCCCCTGTGGAGAAAATGGCCTGGTGTTTAGGGCAGAAACAGAAGAGCAGAGCTGGTTCTGAGAGGTGGTTGGAAGTGCCTTTTGGTCAGACCCCAGGTGTCTTACTTTCTTAACAGAATGTCAGTTACCTGGCAGTCTGTCCCCAGCAAGCCATCCAGATGACAGAAGGGATGGAGAGCAAGATGTAGGTGGGTGTGGAGCTGTGTTTGGAACTGGAGAGAAAGATGTTAAATTTATGGTGTGCGTTTCTGGGAGGGCGGAGGTGGGAGAAGCATTTAGCCAGAGGAAAGATTTCGTTTCCGCACTTCCACACATGCCGGTGATCGGGCTCCTTGCTGGGTTTCTAAACCATACTGTGCTTGTATTCTTATCTCCTTTCTGCACTGATCTTTGTACGCTCTGCTTGTGAATTCTGGGGATGTTCACAGTGCTTGGCTGAATAAGCTTAGGCGTTCTGCCATTTTCTGTGATTCAATTTCGTAGCGTCTTTTAGATGACGGAATTCAGGAAAAGAACTCTGTAAAGGTCAGGCCAGGAGCCTCGTTGGTTTATCTGGTGGTTTCTGCTGTAATTCCTGGGAGGGTGCTGGTCCATTGGGCATTTGCCTCTAAGCAAACATTATTGCCTTTTAATAACTGTTGGTTATTGGATTGTTAATGGTGTGGTGGGGAGTCCAGAACATGGAGCTGACTCATTAGGCTCATAAAAAAGCAAATGCTGTTACCCAGAGTTTCTGGTGACTGACTGAACTGAGCTGCCAGACCCCAGCCCACCCCCCATTCCACCTCCATGGCGCCCCCTCCACCACATGCTCCCACTGCTGGGCAGCAAATGGACACTTCTCCCCTTGTTAGTCACCGAGTTTTGCCCTTGAGAACTCTGGAGGGGGAAATATCTTCTAGGTTTATCAAGCTGAGCAATGACTAAACTAGGAAAGTCATTTTATTGCATTGTTTGCTCTTGGTCATTTGCCCGTAAGAAAATAAAAATGTTTGGCCTGTGTTAAAGACTTTTTCCCCATCTTTCTTGAACTTCATGAAAATATTTATCCTATGAAATGAATGGCGTGAAGGGGAAAGTATTTCCATTTTCTTTGGCAAGTGGAAAAACAGTTTGCTTTTTTCAAGATGTGAGTGGATTGGTAATTGCCTTTGACATAAAGCTAATGCATAAATGTTCTTTTTTTTACTCCCAGCCAACCCAAAATGTTTTTAATCAAAAGAATGACTTGGAAGTCAATGATTAAACCTCGGGCACCCTAAAGCATTTTTGGAGTGTTTGAGTTGTTTGTTTTTTTTTTAAGAAATGTGATTCTTTGCTCTTTATTATTTTCCTCCTTCCCTTCCTTGATGCTACCTTGGTAGCTGCCGTGTTTTAAATATTGACAAGATGAGATAGTTTTCTGTTTATATCAGCAGTCGTCTGTCTGTGAGATATGGACGAATCAGAACGCTGGATTTCCTTTCTCAGCCATCCATCAGGTTCATAATGTAAGGTTACAAACAGTTATTTTCTCTTCCTGGACTTGCGCTGTGTCGTGTGTTGCAAAGTGTCGTCAATAGCTGTAGGGACTATGTCCTGGCAATGCAGAAAATTTGTGATGTCTAACAACTCCTCTGAGATTTTTTTTTTTTTATTATTGTCTATTCTACTTCATTCACTGTGCCTCGTGACTAGTTAACGTGCAAAACATTGTCCTGAAATGAGAAACATACTTGGTTTGGAAGTCTGCAGTTAAAATCTGTCCCGTGTGAGTTTGGCTTTCATCCCGGGTGTCCGCGTTCACTTGCTTTCACAGGAGAAAAGAAAAGGGTAAATTGATATATATATACCCATGTATATATCAGTGTTAGTCTTCCCCATTTTGTACTTCCCTTGTCCATGGGCTATTCAGTCCTTTGTGCCTAACTTTCTCAAAGGTTCATGCGCTTCACTTGTGAGAAATATTTGAGTATGATTTGCATGATATTCTGTATAAGTTTTATGCAAATGCAAGAGGACTATAGCCAAGAGAGGCACCATTACAGCTACAAAGTGGTTCTCAGCCTAATCCTTTTTCTTTTTTTCACTTGACAGTACTGAATTGATCTTTGGAATGTGTGCAAAACCACGACCTATTTTACTCTGAGCTGCTTAATATTCAGATATTCACATTTCACCTTTGCATACATCTAAAAATTCATTTTTGTTTGGAAAGTAAACATTTTCATGTTTGGGGTTTTTTATCTATTTCATATTTTAAAATACAATCCTATTTTCACACTCTTAAATTTTTCTCATTGGGCAGCCTGCTGTCTGAGAGGTTGAGACTGTTGGTTGAGAATCACTCCAAAGAGCTTTTGCAGAGCTCTTGGGGCCGCATGCAGAGCGCCTCTTTTGGGGTGCCATGTCAGGCGTACCCCTCCTGTGTGCATGGGACTTCTGGCTCTTGGGGACCACAGTCTATACATTGCCTGGTACTGCTGCTCCAGTGACCCAGCAGTTCCTCCTGAACACGTAAACGCTCGCTAACCAGTGCTTTTTCATGTTCAGAAGTGGCCATCTCCGCTCTTTTATCAAAAGAAACAAATTTAGGATAACCAGCTGCATTCTTTATTCTTGAAGATATTTTAGAAGAACTACACCAGCATCTTGCTTTCATGTGTATGAACTGTTTGTAGGAGGCCTTTCCTCACATCCCAATATATGTATACATGTTTATAAGTATGTGCCTTCTTCAAAGCTGTTGAGATAAGGGAAAGTAAATGTAATCACATATATCTTATGTATGTTTGGGTAGCCCATCTCTAATATTTGTTAGAATTATTGAAAATGAAACCCAAAAATAACAGTTGTCATTTAAAATCATTTTAGTTTTTCATTAAGTGATCTGAAGAAATAGAAAACAATGTTTGTTAATATTCAATCTAAATTTACAAGCAGGTAGGTGGGAGTTGTTCCTAATAGAAAAGATTTAAAAGCTTCTATTTAAAAAATCAATTAAGTCCTCATTAAAAAACTTTTTTAAAGAATAAGATAAGGCTTGGAAAATACCATACCTTCCTGTTCATGTTAGAGAGCTAGATCCTAGTCATAGCTTTTAATTATTTACTGACATCCTAACAAAACTTTTCCTTAAGAAGAAAGTAAGAATATAGTGTTTTCCCTTTGTCTTCTCAGAACACATAGAATATGTGATATCCTCAGTTTCCTAACAAAACTTTTCCTTAAGAAGAAAGTAAGTATATAAATAGTGTTTCCCCTTTGTATTCTCAGAATACAATAGAATATGTGATATCTTCAGTTTCCATGTTGGGGGATAGAGCATTATACGATATGATGTTTTCAAATTAGATATCTGGTGCATATGAACTAAAACCCCACTCCAGTATTGCTGCCTGGAGAATTCCATGGATGGAGGAGACTGTTGGGTTACAGTCCATGGAGTGACAGAGTCAGACACGACTGAAGCGACTTAGCAAGCAAGAATCACTCTGCTGTACAGTAGTAATGAACACAACATTGTAAACCAACTACACGGCAATAAAAACTTTAAATTAAAAAAATAAAATAAAATAAAACCATGCAGTTTTACCACCTTTTGAAATAATGAAAAGATTAATAGCTGCATTTTGGAATCTACCATCCAATGAACATCTATCATGGAATTTTGCAAATTTTTTCTGCGTTATAACTAAATTCAGTTAGTGGCTTATACTTTTCAGCTAGTGGTATGAGACATTTAATTTAATTATATTGAGTATGGCCCAATTATAATCTTTCAAACACAGCAGGCTATGAATTTCTAGTTAGCAGTTGGTAAATACCTATTAAGCAGAATCAGTTCTCTGTTTAAAACTTTAATCTCAAATTATGTTTTTCTTTCGTATTAGAAGATTAAGTTTTATTTGAGTTTGAAGAGATAGCTAATAATGTACATTTTCTTCTGTTTAATTATGTCCTAAAGGAACAAATACATACATAAATGCCTAGTAAACAAGGTTTTAAGCCATGGCCAAATTCTTGAACTATTACGATCATTTAATACATGAACCTAAAGGAAAGGTTTTTCTCTTAAGTATTTTAAGCTATAAAGAAGTAGCCTGAAGATATTTATTAACAGTGCCTTGAATGACTGTAATTTCTCTTCTGCAATTACTTAAGCCTTTTAAAGAGTACTGCCAGTCACTAATAGTTTACAATATGACAGACTTTTGCAATTTTATTTTGTTATTCTAATTAAACATTATTGTCTCATAGTAACCCATGTTTTGCTAAAGATAAGACTTTATTATAAACCGTTATTTCAGACAAAAGACTTTTTAAGTCTGTTTGATTTTTAGTTAATATTTAATAAGCATTTTTAACTGGGAGATTATTCATTTTTTTAACTTATCTGAAGAAATACAGATAATATCTGGATATGAATTTACTGTTTAATAGGACCTAATACTGGACTTCACAATTGAAATTATTTTCAATGTGAGGCAAACCCCTTCCTTGCTTTTTCTCTCTCCTGCTCCTCCATGTTATCACCACTCTACCTGTTTCCCCCATAGTTCATTCCTGCTGTAATTCAGCCTTCAAGAGGACAGAGACCTAAGGCACCCTTGCTGTCTAAGTTCTTTTGTTCTTACTGTCCCTCAAGGAGATGCAGCTGAATCCCACCCCGGGGCAGGCCACATCTGCCCTTTACAATAGTGTAACGATGAGTCCACCCATTCCCATTGAATTAATTCCAAAGAGAAAAATCAGCACCTACAAACAGAGTCTTCTAAATACTCTTGTATCTAAGGTTAAAAAAATAATAATAAGTTGATGAGTTTCCAGGAAGAAAAGAAAATTAGTTCCTTATAAATTCAATTTTAAGAACACTTTTTCTCTGTTTGAAAATGAATTTCTGGAAATAGCACTCAGTATGACAAAATTCAGTTTCTATTTCCAGAAAGGCAGATTCAGTCCCTGTAGGGAATTTTTAAAATATTTGGTCTGGAGCATGGTTTCTGGGCCACAAAGAAAATAAAATAAGGGTTCTGTTTCTCTTCCCTATAATTATCTTCCCCCACTGCACGTCGGGGAAGCGTGTCAGAGCACTCCAGATTCGGAGCAGGTGGTTTGGGATTTCTGGACAAAGTGGAGGCATAGGAGAGCAGATGATGGCGCTGCCTAAGCAGATGACATGCACGCACCACTAAGTTCTTCAAATGCTTACCATATAAGAGATCGAGGTCATTTCCAGAGTGAGGTGCTGTGTGCTGTTATTCCCAAAATGGCTGCTCTGACTTCTGTGGATGATGTAAATATTTGGATCAGCATTCTGCTTTAAGTGTATGTGGAACTCACATTGAAATTTAATTATAAAAGTGCTTGAGTTAATTCAGCAATTAGAGAATGAGTTTGCATATGATTTGCATGCTTAATGTACAAACACCTGAAATGTCCCCATAACCCCAGCTTCATCCCACCCATTCCCACCCTCAGCCCTCCCCCATCCCTTGACCCGCAATCCATGGTACCCCCAGCTCCTGCCATGTCTGTTCAGGCTTTTCTGAAAACTGCCCGTTGAGCTTGGCCAAGGTAAACCTCAGCTAAACGATGACAGGGCTAACGTTGAAGACTGGATGCTTGGTTTGCGTTGTCACGTCAGCAGACACTGGATCCAAGGATCTTTTGAGGTCAACCAGCTCCCTTTGTATCATTCCACGAAGTTGCGTGCAAACTTCTGTTGTTGCGTTACCAGTGTTACCTGTGACTTGAGTGTACAACACTTGTTTGCTGTGTTGTTGTTGCTTTATCACGGGAGGGGGAGGACCAGGGGGTCAGTTAATGGGGAGATGTGAGGATGATTTGCTGGATGTGGGGAGAACTTTGAATTAAGAACTCACTGTTGCATGTTTCCAGAGCTTTAACTGTTATCATTTAAAGGTTATTAACACTCACCTTTGAAATATTGAAATTCACATATTCTGCATTTTTAATTTTATACTAGTTTTTTTAAGAGCAAATCACAGTCAGTTGAAATAAAGATCCAAACATTTAAGAGAGAAGGAAAAGAAAAGATCAAAATAGCAAGTCAGAGGAAAACTTAATTAATTGCAACTAGTTACTGTTTTTACAAAATAAAAATCCATAATAAACAAAGAGAAAACTTAAGAATGAGTCAGGGATGGGTCATAAGATGAAGGATTTTTGCTTAAAAATGCTAAAGTAAATATTCCAGATAAAGTCTTAATGATATCAACAGATGGAAGATGGGAGAACCGAGCCCTGTGCAAGTAAATTAGCAACTGGAACAAAACTAAGAAGCAGAGTAGCTCAGAGAGAGGAGCCGAGGGTTCTGACCAGTCACACACTCCAGTGAGAAGCCAGGGAGATGACATGAGGCTCATGTGTCTCTTCCTGTTGTTGGGATTGACGGATCTCAAAGAGAAAATTTCAGGCTCTCTGCCTCACGAAATGGCCTGTGCATTCCTAAGGGGCTCTGGAATTCTTCTGTTTTTTAAAACCAGTTAGAAATTTGACTTTATAGGTGCTCACACTAAACCATTACAGTAATAAAACATGTTGAGGTTAACCTCATGGAAAATGGTCATTAAAATGATGCGATGTCCTTCTGTCTTAAGTCTGTCTTAGCGGGCTCAGGTACTGCGTGATATACCGTCACATGGGCTGTGCTTGTACTTGTGGTCAGGCTCCCCAAGTACATGCATATGCACATATGACCGAACCTGGTATTTAAATATTTATTCTTCATTCATGCCTTAGGTTTTCTGAGGGAGGTGTTTGAATATATCCAAGACAATCACGGTGGTGTTATATTGATACAAATGAATTCAGAGGAGGGAAACTAGGTATCATCCACTAGTACATTTTCTTCTCAAATTTTGTCTAGTATCACGCCTACCATGTCTTCTCTCCAGAGATATAGAATTTTTCAAAGTACATGGTACATGTTCTCATCAGGAACTGAAATTTATGAAACAGAGTATTGTGAATTCATTTCAAACTAAAAATTTCAAACAGTCAAGTTTAAAAACAGAAAAGTCTTTCAAAGATCATATGTTCTTTTCTGTTGGAACAGAAAATTATGACTTAGTAAATCATTTATGAATATCTTCATGTTTTATTTTAAAAGTACTTAGCTTAGGATGTCATTCTAAAAATAGAGTAAACCAACTTCTTTCATACCTCAAAAGTTAACTCAGCTTTGGGAAACAGGATGGTAGGACATATAAAACCATAATAAACATATAACACACCTAAATGTATTTGCACATCTATGGCACACAGGTTTAACATGAACTCAGGCCAGCTATAGTGCATGAACTTAGCCTGTTACTCATGTTACCTCTAGAATAAATGTGATTTTCAGACAGGAGACTGGGGAGAACCTTCCATTACCTTGCGACCTCCAAACGAAGCCACAGCCTCAACTCCAGTGCAGTACTGGCAACACCACCCGGAAAAGCTCATCTTCCAGTCATGTGATTACAAAGCTTTTGTAAGTTACCCAGAACTGAGTACTTGGGTACCAGCAGGAATAGAGGGTACATTTCTAGCTTGTTTGCCTTTATATTGAAAGTATCCCCAGACATCCATCACTGAAATTCCTAAAATGTTTTCCCCTTCTCTTTTTTTTCTTAAAGAAGCCTTCTTCAAAGGCTACTTGGAAATTCCAAACAAATGGAACTTTATAACCCTTTTAATCTTGTAAGCTTAAGGTCTGTTTTGCCTTCTTCATATATAGTTGTATATTGTAAATTAAATGTGATAAATTACTATCTTAAAATGGAAATGACTATAAATAGAGCACATATAGACATTTCCACATAACTCATCAGTTATCTCAAAACATTGGGTCCACAGCTTTATGTAAATACCAGATTCTTTTCATTGTCATCATTTGGATTATATTACTAGGTTTTTTGTGTTTTTTTTTTTTTTAGATAGGAGAGGGAGTCAGGCTTAGCTGAGATTGTGAGTAATATGAACAGGTAAATGTTCAAAAGATACCATCAGTTTGGGGGCCGGTGGTTGTCATGACTATAGCAGGGAAAGTGGATGAACCCTCAGCAGAACATTGAAACTGTCTTTCTTAAAAAATAAATGTTTTAATTAGGACAAAGTTTCCTGATACCTTAAAAGATGAGGATTTCATATTTTCAAAAATAAGATAATGAAAAACATCGAAAAGAAGATACACCACAATCATCCGTCATTAATTTATGAAGATGTAAAGGTCATGATTATCTCACAGCAGTTTAGTCTTTTCATTTTGTGCTCTCTGCACCTCTTTAACTGCTTAGGTCTTGAAGCACTGGACTTGTTTCAGTCGTAATCTCCCCCAAAACTGTAAGACTGCAGTTCCTCCTTCTTCCTCCAAGACCCAAACACCAGATCCCTGAGCCTGTCTGAGCATGCCTTCTTGGAAGCCTTTGACTGAACCCTCTGCTATTGTGCCTGTGAGCAAACTCTTCAAGGCCGGGCTCTCCTGGGTCTAAAAGACTGATTCCCAGCCCAGTTTTTGCAGAGTGCCGGGGTCTCCTCAGTCACTTCCAGACAACAATCATTTTGATACACTCTTTTAAAAAGACATATTGAGCTGTTTCTTTTCTCTCTTTTTTTGAAGGAAAGTAGAGAAAAATGACAGATGGAAAGAACCCTATTGAAGTTGCAAAAGATTGTGTGTGTGCGTGCTAAGTAACATCTGACTCTTTGTGACCCTGTGGACTATAGCTCGCCAGGCTCCTCTGTCCATGACATTCTCGCAGAAAGAATGCTGGAGTGGGTTGCCACGCCCTCCCCCAGGGAGTCTTCCTGAACCAGAGATTGAACCTGAGTCTCATGTCTCCTGCATTGGCAGGGAGGTTCTTTACCACTAGCACCACCTGGGAAGCCCCTTTCAAAAGGTTGAAGGAGAGTCAATTGATAGGAAGGCAAAATAGACATTTTGCTAAAAACTTTTTGCCCCCAGCCAGAACTTGGAGTGTGTGTGACCCGTCTGTGCTAAGGCAGCCTTGGAGCAAAGTGGCTGGTGATTCCTGGAAGGAGATGCTACCATCCTTCCCCCGCCCTGTCAGCCCCTCCAGTGTCAGCGTGCACCAAGGAACTCAGCTCCCTGGACTGTGGAGCAACCGAGAACGACATCTCCCTCCCCGCATACTTGCAGCCCCTTCTCAGGTGGATCAACCCCCAGGCCCGGAACTGAGTCTGAAAAGGGTCCAGAGCTGTTCTCTGCCTGAGAACAGCCTGGCGTTAATTACCTGTGCAGCCGGCTGAGTCCAGATGCAGTGTATGTTGCTTGGCTTCTCAGCTGTCTCATACAACCCTGTAATTACATAGACAGTGATGTGATTTATTTTTGCAGACATTGCTGCCTCAAAAAAAAAGGGAAAACATTTTTAGATGGCCCCATTTTGCAGTTAAATATGATCTGAAAGATGGCATCTTTAGAAACTACTGCAATTTTATTATAAAGAGCAATTTACAGCTTTCAGAACTCTGGTTAATTCTGCTGCATTCTCTGTATACATGCATGTATTTGTTAGAATTAGTTACTGTTAGTTTTTAAAAGTTATGCAGCAGCCTACAACCAGGAAGGCTGGCCAGTAGTACTTTACAATCTGCTTTTAAATTGCTACTCATATTTATGTTCTGTTTTTCATAAATTGTTGATCTATTTATTTATTTTTTTGTATTTCAGTATTTAGGTTCTATGCTGATAAAAGAGCTCAGGGGGACAGAATCAACCCAAGATGCTTGTGCAAAAATGCGGGTAAGTTTGCCAAACAATTTTATTTCTTGTCACTGAAATACTAAATACTGGGTATGGATACAAATTGTTGCTTTTCAAGTTACTATTTTCTTCATCTGTTGGTCTGCTGAATCACACTGGTGTTACATAAAAAGGTGTTTGGGTTTTGTTCATGTTTATGCCACTGTGGTTTGATTTGAGGTCTATTGGATGCAGTTACTCTTATTTTTAAAGATTTAAAGTAATTTTATATACATTGATCATCTCCAGATTAGGAGAAAAATGACCTTTAGTTTACTACAAAAAAAGTATTTTAAGCACCCACTTGGCAGTCTGAGAATACTTACTGAAAAGACTGCCAACTAACTAAAAATTAACAAATGCAGGAATATTGAGAGCATATTATATAAAGCTAATATGCCTTAGAAGCTTCTTAATTATTCATTTTTTTAATGTAAGAAAACCATACAACTCCAAATTGAATCATGTAAGGACACAGTCTTGACAGAAATGGCAATTCCAAATGTCTGTGATTGGTGGCTGCTGGGTTCCAAGGACCCTGTATTAGTCAAACCGATTCTCACTGAGAGACTGCAGATCCCGGAGCTTTTACTTTTATGTGTCCCTCATTCTTCCTCCATAGCAGATGTGTAGAAGCCATGGTGATATCTGACTGATGATACAAAGTAAGAATATCGGACTTGGTCCACATAGCAACTAACCAGTCAAATTTGAGATCATTAGCAAGTGAAACACTAACTTCTGTTTATCATTTATTTTATACAAGCAGCTCTGGTGGGAAATACTTAAAAGCATGCAATCTAACAGTCATTGCTCATGGAACACTAAACATGTATGAATCTTCATGACACTGAGGCCTCTGTATATAACGGCTAGTTTGATGTTTTGATGAATTCAGTAGAAGAAAGACTGAAACGGTTGTCCTCCTGTTTGATGTAGGTATAGTATACTTAAATTGTCAGGACCACGGAATCTTTATTCCAGGTACTGTGTTTAGATTAAAAGAAAAAAATCCCTGATATGTGCAGGAGCTCCAAGTTCTAATTCTGTTGCTGCTTACTGGCCTTAGGAGTCACCTTTTAGTCATAATAATAACTGGTGAATTTACTGACTGGTTACGACGTGCTAATCCATGACGTGCTAATAATGAATACCTTGAGTGTTTGCTCGTCTAATCTTTACCACAAAGCTATGAGATTAATACTGTTGTTATCCCCATTTTGTAGATGAAAAAACATTAAATAACTTTCCCAAGGTCAGACAGTGAATAACTTGCCAATCTGGGACTGGGTGTGTCTGACTCCAGAGCCCAAGCTTTTAACTGTGACATTCCCCTGCTTTTCCTGGGCTTCATTTTCTTAGAAAATAAGAACATTGGACTAGATCCCGTTAGGGTTCTTCCTGGTTTTATAATTCTGGAAAACTTGTATTCTAATTTTCTGTCAAAGAAAAATAAGAAAATGGGAAAGGTTTTCAATCATCAAGCCTCAATAATTTTAGAGCCATTCATGAACATATCGAGGAAATTAATTTGGCATCTCTGATTTAATACTATTAACTCAGTTATCTGAATCCAGCTACTTCAGTGCAGTAATGAGCATAAATAGCACATAGAGCACATAGCACCATCTAAAATACACCAGATCTGTGGTTTGAATTTCAGTCAATTTCTTGAAATTAAGTGGATCTGAAATTCCATTTGGACAGCAATAGCAAAACCATTTCAATAGTCTCAGTGGAGAATAATTTAGTTAAATACTTGTCTGTTGCTTAAAATGAAAAAGCCATCTATTTAGAAGCCATTCTTCTGTTCTTTAGGGTGTTTTTCCAGTTTTCTGCCCTTGGTGTTTATTTTGAGTAGTTTACATGAAAATAAGAACTCTTTTGCTACTTGGGATATCACAAACCCTTATTTCCCATCTTGATTAAATAAATATCAGTCTTTGACAGAGTAGCTAAAGTTGCACTCTCTGGGTTCATCAGAGCCTTTAAAACCCAGAAGTGCACATTTGATCTGCGTCTGGGACTACTGAATTGTGAACTAGAGCTCTCGCTGACTGAAATGCTGCGGATCCAAGTTCGCAGTTAATGTTCAGTTTGAACCTCCAGTGACTGCTCTCCCTGTTTTCAATATGGTGACATTTCAGCCAAAAGTCCCAGTAGAATCAGATCTCCCTAGGGGAAGTACTTTAGGGCAGGGGTCCTCAACCTCTGGCATCTAGTGCCTGGTGATCTGAGGTGGAGTTGATGTAATAATAATAGAAATAAAGTGCCTTGGGCTTCCCAGGTGGCACTGGTGATAGAGAATCTGCCTGTCAAGGCAGGAGACAAGAAACATGGATTCAGTCCCTGGGTTGGGAAGATCCCCTGGAGGAGGGCATGGCAACCCACTCCAGTATTCTTGCCTGGAGAATACTATGGACTGAGTGAGGAGCCTGGTGGGCTACAGTCCACGGAGTCACAAAGAGTCGGACAGGACTGAGCTACTGAGCACGCACACACCCACTACCTCTCACATGTGCCAATTAAACATTTATTGCCCTGAGTTTTAAAATGTTTGAAAAGGTGGATCATTTATGTTGATAAAGAAATAGTTTCAGGGTAGTTTGAGGAACCCTTAAAGAGTCTATAAGATTAGTACCAACTAAATTAAACCATTTAGGTACAGACATATGTAGTAATTTAGGGTACATTCCAGTGTGCTAACATAAATAAAAATTTTAGGAGATTTTTTTTAGTTGCATACTTATCAACTGTAAAATTTTTTTCCATAACACTTACTTCCACACATTCACTTTGCCCCAGCAGAGACCAAGCACAGTTTTCCCTTCTCAGAAGCACTTGGAGTGTTTGAGAGTCACAATTGGTTAATTTCTAAGTTTATCTAAGCTTGTTTATTCATCTCTAAAATCCCCTCAGTCCTGAAATAAAGATAATTCTACATTGCTCTCCTAGTGTTCTGTTACACACCTATTATTTCAATTAAAAGTATATCATAATTAATTGGTGGTGGTAAAGAACCCGCCTGCCAGTGCAGGAGACAGAAGAGACACGGGTTCAATCCTTGGGTTGGGAAGATTCCCAGGAAGAGAGCTTGGCAACTCACTCCAGTATTCTTAATCTGGAGAATCCCATAGACAGAGGAGCCCGACAACTCATTGAGTCAGACACAACTGAAGCAACTCAACACTCACACTCACACAGACAAACACATTTATCAGGTTTCCCACAGCCCCCGCCCCAGATCTAAACCCTAAATAATGCCCATCTTAAAATTACCCTTTAAATTGTGTTTATTGGGAAAGACTCAATAGAAACTTGCAGGAAACCCTGATCATTTTTAAAGTAAAATTGCCTTTAGAAAAATAAAAGCCTACAAAACTATCTATGCCTTGATATTGAGGTACACTTTTAGGAAGAATGATTTCTATGAATTATTTTGCACTCCAGTGGTACAACTTGGCTGCTTATTTCCTTTCCCATGACAGCTTTCCAGACATGTCTATTTAAACTGAAATTTTTAAGACCTATCTTAGTAATCTGTGAGAAGCTGTAACAGATCTCTGTTTAATCTGAACACATTCGTTTGATGCTGCCTTTATGGTCCTGGTTGGGTTTTCCAGCTAAATGTGTGCTCAGAGACAGAGTCTTCATTCTGAAAGGACTCCTGAGAGGAATCCTGGCTCTGCGGTCCGGAACATGTGCTCCCCTGACATGTCACACAGACAGTAGGGAACCTTCCCTCTGTCACACCTCACATCACACTACGTAACACCTGGCTAGCCCTGTCCCACGCCCCGTAGAAGGCAGGAACCCCGTATACTGTATCTCCAAGGCCTGCTGTGTAACAGCTGCCTTAGGAGATGGTCGTGGTGATTCCATAAAAGAATGCCTGTGAAGGGTCTCGTTCAGTAAAATCTTAAAACACGTAGACCCTGTCCTCCAAATGTTTGAGAAATAAGTAAATTGATGGCTAGATTTGCTCTGGAGTATTTCATTTGTTTTTCCCCACCTCTGATGGCAGTGCCCCAGCATTTGCCCCAGTTTTCTGTGTATTTATACACAGTATAAGAGAGAGTATTCAAACCCTAGGAACCCTGCACTCTTGTGTCCAGTTTTTTTTTAATATATTTATTTTATTATCTGGATGCACTGGGCCTTAGCTGTGATGTAGGGGAACCAGTTCCCTGACCAGGGATTGACTGCAGGCCCCCTGCACTGGGAGCATGGAGTCTTAGCCACTGGACCACCAGGGAAATTCCTTCCGTCCAGTTTTTAAAGGTCATTGCCAAAGGGGAGAAAAAAACAAAAGGGCACTGTGGATGCTATGTGTAATTTTCATTTTATATTTAGGAGAAGTAATTTGTTTCTGAACTGATTGGAAGTTGCCTCTTTTAAATGATGTGTCCACAGACTGAACTTTATAAAGCAATAGATTGTTTTGGCCTTTCACTTCTCTTTGCTCTGAGTAGCTTCCACTTCAAAGATTCTAAGTACAGAGTTTGGTGAAATGAGGGATTTGTTCTGGCCACATGAGGTTCTACTATTCCATTTTCCTCCCTAGACTTACTCATACCCCACCCCCAACCCTGAATTTTGTCCCAGGGTATATGTATCAGTAATATACAGCACTCTCACTTCCCTAATTAAATATGCCACTAGGAACACATCTGCTCCTGTAAGAGGTAGGCCATTATATTCAATTTAGTACTCTGAAATCTGACTGTCTCTAATCCCATATTTGAGGGTTAGAATCGTTCATCGGTGTATGTGTTCAAGGAAATCTCCCTTAGAAAAGAAAAAAAGGAAAGGAAATATCTGTTCTCAACTACAATAAGGTAGAAACCAGCCTTTCTGATGTAAGAATGAAAATATTTTTTAATTATTTTTAAGTCAGGAATAAGCAAATCTTCCAGTGTGTTTAGATTTTGGAACCTCTGTTTCCCAAAGGGCTTAGTTTCACAATCCATTCAGGCTTCTTGTTGAGTCTGTACCCTTTA